TAAAAATGACAGTATTTTTTCAGAGGAACTTGTGATGTTCCAATTTTCTGATTGCACTGGGAGCGGGGAGCAAGGCTTTCTGAGTGGAATTCTGAAATGAAACCGACTTTCTGCTCCGCTAAAGTCTGTGGGAGTTCCTTGATTTAGCTATCTTAATCATACCTCAGATTAACATATTACATCATGTAATGTTTGTGGTCCTACAACCAACAAATTCAAGAGGTCCATTACAAGGGGGCCACTGCAGAGCCAGGGTTATTGGGTCAGAGATTTGAAATTAGAGAATTGCACTGTATCACCACATTCATTCTCATTAATAATTTGTTTATCCAAAAAACACTACCCACCAGTCATTCATAAAGCCTTTTAAGACTGTAAAGCACTTACTATCACCCCAGGACACACAAAGTTACCAACTGTTTCTGTCAAGCTATCAGGCTATTTCTTTCCCCTTATCATGGGTCTCTGCTCTGATGCACTGGTCCAAAGTTGGATGTGTGGATAACTTGCTTGCAATTTGTAGCATCATGGCAGTAAGTACACACCTCTATAACTGACATTTGTGTTTCACATTTTATTTAATAATATTTCTGTTTTATTATTGACATTTTTGCCAAAAAGGTCCATCTGTCACTAAATTTGTTTATGAGCATGCACTTCATTCATGTTGACCAAAGAGTTGTAGCCTAATCATAAGAGAATGCGCAAAGGTTAATTTAGACTGCAGAGCATAAAACCTGGTCATCTCAATAGAGCCTTTATGGGTGGCACCTTTATGGGTGGCATCAATTGGGAAATCATACGGTTTGGTTAAGGTTATTTAACTGCTTTTAAAACTTGCACACTCACACTTCATTTAAAAGTTTTTGTTTGTTAAGAGGTCCTATTTGATATCTCAGGTACTATCTGTACATGCTTTGATGGAAAAATCCTGACAATATAGGTCTGTACCAATTGTTTAGAGTAACAGTAAAGTGTTTCCCCCGCGAGCTGCTGATAAGCAATCTGAGGGGACTGTATATCTAGAAGTGACCTCTGGTGGGCACATCTCCTAGGCTTGTGCTGCCGAGGGTACAGCTGCAAGACTAATGTTGCCATGGGTATAGCCACAGGGCCACCCTTACTGTGTACCCATTATCTGCCATTACATTATCTGCTGCCAGTTACAAATGTGAACCTTCAGCCATGCTGCAGAATATCAGGTAGTCTGTCATACAACACTTCTCTGGCATAATATGACAAAGATTCATTGCAATGCCTCCCTGTGTGACATGGCTGCTTCAGGTTAGGTCACCTATGATGATCTTCAGTGTGAGAACTGGAGGAAAATCCACTGGGACTGTATAGCATAAAACACTTCAGTACACCTCCAGCGCAATTTATTTCATATGATAGGTACCTCCATTGTTTAGCTGCAGACGCAAAGAACAGCACGCATTCTTCAGGAGTGGAGAGGGCCACTCTCTGGTCATCATTGTAAATCATTTGGTCTTGTTCTAATGCATCCTACGGCAGGAACACTGGTTTCGCAGTGTCATTTGTAGAGTGTCCCCCTGGTCCGCTGAAGCACGTTATGAGGGAACTGAGACATGAGTGTGTGCCCGTCCATGCCTGTGTGATCCATTACTCTGTCTCAGATAACACTAGCGGAAGCAGTGGGCAGTGGAAACCGTCACGCCGCTCCCTCTGCTTCGCGGTGTGAATTCGGCAGATTGTTTGCCAAAGGGTAAATTATGCATGTGAGTAACTTCCTGTTTCCTGTCAGCGCTCCAGACCTCGCCGGCATGCCGACGGCCTCCGCTGTCCTTACAAACAGGAGCCTCGCGGGAATTAAAACCGATGCAATCTGCGCCACCTGACCGCCCCAGCTCCGTGCGCGTTAGTTTCAGTGTTCCATCGCTGAAGAGTAGAGGGAGTGTTGTTCTCGATATAGCTGTGTGTCTTTCTGGCAGGTCATGGGTAGCACTGTCTTCAGAGCTGTCCAGTGTGATCACATGCTGTCATGTATTGTCACCTATCATGAAGTTAATTTATTTTTCCAAGATTCCTAATATTGGTATCTATATTGACTCGACAGTCAACATTTGGGTTCTGATGTTATGCTGTGATAAGGCTCTCCATACTGTACTAAGAGGCATTTGAAAGTTGAGATGCTTTAAGTATTGCCATCACTGAAGTGCAACCACTTGCCCACATCTGAAAAGCCATTGAAGTCCTAATCAAACAGCTCCTGTGAGGATATTCACCATCTCACACTAAAAGAGGAAGCCTTCAGTGTTAAATCTCAGATACCATCAATCTAACACTCAGTTCAGTCTGACTCACCTATACATCATTTATTTAAATGTCTGCTTTGCAGGGTCCTGCGAAAACTCAAATGCTGGTTATCATCAGTTTGAAGAAAAAAAATTCCCTCCATCTCTTTGCGTTTTGTCATGCAGCGGTCAAAGACAACATTTCTGCACAGCTTAGAGTGTCGTTGGCCTGTCCTCTTTCATCTCGGTGATGGAGAGGTCGCTTCTTCTGAAAAGATGCCACGCCGCATGAGGGATGACACATCGCGTCACGTCCGATCACATTCCGTCCCTCCCCGGTCGGCCAGAGCCCTCCGCGGGTTTAAAAATAAACACATCGCACCGAGCCGCAAGTGCTGAGCCAGCACCGCAAATTTGACTTTGTGTCAGTCCCTCGCCGGGCCGGTTGCATCATCACGCTCTATTCCCAGGTGCTGATGGGAGATTGGCCACCTGTTCAAACGTCACGCACATTGCGGTATAATTAACCAGAATTAGCCTTGAAGTACGGCATCTGTGACACAGCCTCCCAAGTTTCTAAGATGTGTCAGCCCTCACGAAACAAATGGTTACCGGCTGAGTCAGCTGCCAGAAGGACACGATTCCTTCGATCATTTCTTTTAGGCGAACTGACGTTCATTTATTTATGTATATGTTTTATTTAATTGATTTGATTATTTATTGTCAAAGCAGATAATCCATCGAGTGATCTCATCCTTCATAATGAACACATTATTTTCCCCTCTGTCGTTGTCACAGTTCTTTCAAACCGGTGTGTGTTTGCTTTTGGTTCTGACATCACTCCTCTGACCCGTATTGGCAGATCCTCTGAGCTCCCGCGTTGGTGCCAGCCACACTGTGAAGGCTTGCAGAGGCAGCCAGGATGGTCCCGGATCAGGCGAGCTGCAGCTCCTGTTTCTTCCCATTTAATACAATCTGTGACAATGAAAAAGCATAATAAGCACATTTAAAGATGTAGCCAATGACACTGGAGGCGGATCAATTGGAAAACTGCACTGTAGATTTTTAATGGACGCTACAGAGAGCTGAAATGGGTCACGCCCCAGATTATGCCTGCTGCCCTGGCCCTCCCCCAGTCTGTCATTACATCATGGCCCGGAATCCAGAACGGGTGCCAGGACCACGGTGCCAAAAGTGACACGCCCTTTGATACATTAATGCAGGGGATTTAATCGCTTTCTCCAGCCCAAAGATGACATCACAGTAATGCACAAATACATATACATACATACTACACACATACAGGAGTCCCGATTCCACCACACGGTCCCAGATTTTAACAGAGTACATCCAGCTGAATAAACATGAGACAGGTCATCCCGCATAACATTCATCACATATGCAAAGAGATGAACTGATTTTGCTAATGAAGACTACTTCCTAGGCTCCTTCACTGAGAGAAGGAAGTTAAAAGGATAACTGCAGTGATTAAAGTCTAATGATGTTCTGAAAAATGCCTACCATTTGAATTCAGCAGACTGTCAGGATGAGACAGTCAAGTACGATGAACTTGCTGTCCATGGGCTTCATCGTCCTGGCAGGGGCACTGGTCACTGCCCTGGTCCTGGCCTCATGCAATCTCTTTAATCAGACTGGCTATATGGTCATGCAGGAAACATCAAAAAGCTGCCCATTCTAAGGCCTTCCTTTAATACTAATTATTGAGCTTCCACCCCATTTTAAGTTGGCCATTCGATGATTACCTTTTTGTCTTGTTTTGTTCCGAATGGCAAAAACAGAACTGCTTAATCTAAATTCAGCCCCTTTTGAAGAGACCTAAAGCGCCACAGACCTCATCAGGGAGAAGTGGGCCAAAATATAGTGCCGCAACCCTTTATTGAGAATCACTTCAGCCCGCCTTAATGTAATGATGCCATTTATACCAAGCAAAAACCACAATGGGAGAGTTCTCAAGCAATAACACTCAGAGAAAACACCTGGAGAAAAGTGAACAATAGAAGGTTCTGGAATGAAAGTAGATGGTACCACTCTGCAGGCGAACTAGTGGAGTGAGAGGAGGCTGGGATTGTACTCGTTCCATTCCCCCGATGGAGATGGCTGCCTCTCCATTCATATGTGATCCTCTCTGCTGTGAATTGATTTAATAGAAATCAATTTCCATAATAATATCTGCATTCCTTCTCTTTGTAAGGAGGCAGACAAAGCAGGCTTCGGCCTCCCCAAGCAGGGCTTTGGATAATGCAAGTCCACTTGTAAGGAGAGCTGACTATACTTTACTGTACAATGTGCCCAATTGCTTATTTAACATAAACACGCTATAACCAAGGCAAGTTAATTGCCCAATTCTTCATTGAGGACCTCATACAGATTCAGTATTATTTATGTTTAATCTATTATTTATAATAAATATTTAATAAGTAATGCATATTAAAGAAAATAATTACTTAATATTATACACAAAGAAATTTTATATTTTATATATATATGTATATATATATAATCTACATTTACATTTATTTACACATATGTATATATGCGTAGTATATTATCCTACATACATATCTGTTTACTAAGTCATTTTGGATTCACTCATCTATACAGTGTATAATATACATTACATTTTCTCTTCAGTGGGTGTACAGAATCACACTCTATAGAGTGCCCCGAGTGGTATAGGGTTAAAACATTGTCAGTTGTACACAGTCAGTATATGGTCAGTGGGGTGGCAGTGTGGCATAGTGGTAATGAGCAGGGCTCATAACCAAAAGGTTGCTGGTTCAATTCCCCGCTGGAGCACTGCTGTTGTACCCGTGGGCAAGGTACCTAACCCAGTATTGCCTCAGTAAATATCCAGCTGTATAAATGGATAATATGTAAAATTGTAACCTATGTAAGTTGCTCTGGATAGGAGCATCTGCCAAATGACTGTAATGTAATGTGTAATCTGCACACAGTTAATAGTTGGCAATCAGCATAGGTTCAGTGGCTAGCAATCACTGCACGGTCAGTGGCAGGCAGTCAGCATACAGGCAGTGGTACATAGTCAGTGTCTGGTTGAGCCGAGTCTGCTCTACAGCATGTGCCCTGAGAGCTGAAAGACAAACAGTGGATTCCTTCATGTGTGGCTGCCAACACTGGGTGAACAGGCTCCTATGGGAGTGCTGTCTCTGCATAAATGCCTCTGCAGTCTGGGAACAGCTGACACACAGTCAATGATGTTGCTAATGCTAATGCTAATTTAAACCTTATAATGAGGACAGCAAAATATGCAAGGACTGCTTGAAGAAGAGACTTCTGATTAAAAAGCAATCAAGTAACGTACATAAAACTTGTAATAGCATACATGAATAGAGTAATAATCAGGTTCATATTGGTTCTGAACATTGTTTTCATTTTTCCCACCGACAGTGTGATGTCTAAAGTACATACAAACTGTATTTTTACACTACCAGCAGATGGCAGAATGTTACCACTAAAATTCTTTGAGTATGCTTGTCTTTGGTGTGCTACATCTTTGCGTGTAACTTAAAAATACTCTGTATAGCAGCTGTCAAAGGGGGGAGTTTCTTCCAGTTTAAAATGTGAAAATGCACTCTGGTCTTGTGTCTGCATCTCATGCAATAAAAATCCCGTCTGTTAAATAATGCCTTCTTAATGGAACAGAGAGTGGGAGATTCACCAAAACCTTAAGGAATTCTAGGGAGATGTCATGTTCACCCTCAATCGACAATCTCAAATAGACAGGCGGAATCGATTGCTTGATTTGTACCTTCAGTCCCCCTGAAATTGCATTTCTCTTCAGGTTAATTCTGTCAAAGCTGATGTGACTGTTGAGTGTGACGGGTCCAGATGCATTGTAGCTCTGTGTGTGTGTGCTGACCACACAGCACACACACCCCACACACACAACAGGGGGACACACACTGACAGCCTCTGTGGCCCATAGCCACCTGTCAGAACCAATGCTGGGCTCCAATAGAAAACACCTGTGTCTCACTGACACAAGTCACCAGTCTGGCAGCTTCCTCCAGACCTCTGTGGCGACACTTATCAGAACCAGGGACAGGTGGAACTGTGATGTTCTAGTGACAGTTGATTTTTCACTGCCATTCTGCTGGGACAAATGAGGGGGACAAACCCACACAATGTGGTCCTTATCAAAGCTGATGCTGGCTAACTGGAACCAGGACTGTGGGTGCAAGTCCGGCACTATGGGGGTGCACTGCACCCCCAGAAGGACCTCAGTGCACCCCCAGTTGTCTCCTTATATCCCAATGCCTAAATAGTACTTATTATGTTTTTTTAAGATATATTTGTGACTATTTGTGCCCCCTGTGGATTGCAATTGCACCCTTCTGTATTTTCTCCTGGTGTCAGGCCTGTGTGGGCATTGTCGGACTACACTGCCAATACCAGGTCAGTGCATTATAGCATTACCACATAGCTCTGTTGATACTATTCATAACCAGAAAAAAGGTGACTACTTTGTATTCACACTTTAAAAGAGCTCAACCAGAAAGGCAAAAGAGCCAGTGTCACTGCTTGGGCAAGCAGAGGGCAGGGGTTACACAGAGGCTTGTCTGTTACTGACATCAATAAAAACAATTGCTACAGTGAATGAACATTTTATGATTGTAGCAAGGTACTAGCTGGCCAATCTGACAGATCATAGATAAATACCTTACACCATCAGCAATCTAAGAGTGGACATCTGTCCAAGAATAATCATTTAATTTTCTGCTTTTGTGCCTGTAGATCCTAAGCCAAAAAAACCCCCTCAATCTCCTGTGATTGTTTGGCCCTGGGGGTGGGCGGAGGCTGCACTATGGAAGGAACCTCGCCAGCTTTTCGGTTCATGGCTGTAGTTTCACCTGATTCTGTTGCCAGCAGTGACAAAGGGCGAGTGAGTCTGCTCTCAGCACAACAATGTAGATGGGACGAGACAGCAACGGCATTTTGACCCTCTTAGACGCCCTTCTTTCTAATTCTAACCAGGCGCAATAAAAATCCAAAGAGGTCTTTAATAAATAAAGCACTGTGTGCATTACAGCATAAAGACTAAAAGCCTACTCTGTCACGCAAAGAAATTGAGTATTAACTGCTAAGCTACATCAAATCAATTCATAGGAAAGCAATATTTGTCTTAAGAAGATATGCATAGCAATTTTTTGGAGTATTGAAGTGGTGCTGTGGAATTTTACAGTGTTTTTTTTTATTACAGCAGTTCCTAATTAATACATTTCTCAGAAACAGGTGTTGTGTACACAGCTAAAGTAAAAGAGTCTAAGATTACTGTATCAATGTCTCAAACTTTCTCTCACTTCTCTTTCCATTACAGCTGAGGTTTGAGTCAGACCCCACAAAGAGCAAAAAAGTTGCCCCCCCCCGTCTGCTCATACCCGTCCTCTGATTCACCAGTGGAAGAGCTGGATAAGGCAAGCTAATCACAGTGTGTTCAAGCAGAAAACCCTCACTGAAGCAATGTAGCCTAGCCCCATGCTGCAATCTGTCCAGCTTTGGTATATTACCCTCTTTCAATCTAATGAAGAATCATTTTATCTCTATTAACTTTCTACATCCATATATTTTTCAAAATAGAGGAAAACTTGGATACACTATAAAATGGTTTTTTCCAAGCCTGCAATTCAATAATTTGTTGAATGTAAAGTGTGGGTTGGTAAAGTAGGACACCAAAACTTTTCACTGGCCCTGGCCTGCTTTTTAAGTTTAAAATAATCCACCACCACTATGGCCCAACATTAGGCAATTCTGCCTGCCTGAATCTCCTTATCTGGCTGACACAAACCAAAGTCACTCCTTAAATTGGTGCTGTCTGCACTAGGTGCATAACTGGCAGATTTGCCAATTATTTTGCTTCCAATTTGCAAAACCAAGCCAATCAGTAAACAATTGCTCATTGGTTGGCGGTCATAACATCATGGGCAAATATCCCACTTTTACTCAGTATTTAGAGGAAAATTAGAAGAACAATGAGTAAGTAAAACACACCAAATCATTGTATAATGTCTCACCAAGATGTATAAGAAGAAAATATAACATTGATCAAGAGTATGCACTATTTATCTGGTAGCGCCTGAATTGAACTTGTCTGATATATTATTGATTTTAAGCCTTGAAAAGCAATGACAGTGAAAAGGAGCATTTTGTTTGCTGAGCGTGATTCGAACGCACACCTGGATTGTGGCTAATTAAAGCAATCTTAAACATTTCTGAAGATGTGGAGGCCTTGCATTGGCTGTTGCAGGGCATAATTAACACATGGCTCCCTCTGATGATCGAGAGGCTGTTGCTAAGGCTTCTTGACTGAAAGTAGCTCAGCTGATTAGTATCTTCCAATTAGCAACCTATAGAAGAGCATTTGCTTTTAAAAAAAAAAAAAAAAACTTGAAAGCATATTCTTTTCACTGTATTCTGTTCATCAGTATTCTGAATCATGATCCTTCTGCTCTGCATTTGTTATTTTATATAAATATTTCTAGCAATGGCAGTAACTGAACTTTGGAATTTATTGAAAACTAAATCTTGCTAATGAAAATGAGGCAAGTTTTCAATAGGTGCCTTCAGCCAGGTCAACCAAGATTAAATACACACTGGTTAATGTGAAGTACATTTGTTCCCTTAGATGACCCTGTGGAAAAGGGTTTGACTCAAACATGAGTACGTTCATTAAAGGGCATGCGTTCTATTTATAACACGCCTTCAACCATCCCAGAAGGCCAGTAAGTGTTCACTGAATAAAACCAAGGTCATTAACTTCAGCGCTTTGCATTGCAGTGAGAAGCATGCCTCACTTTCACAAAGCAATCGTCCCCTATGTCAGACGTCTTTACTCTCTGAAGTAGACATCCCATAATCTTCATTATTCCCCTGGCAGGCTTTTGGAAAGCCCAGTACTACGAGAAGTCAATAGCACTCAGTCTCAGACACCAAATGGGACTCAGTCATTTTTCTGCAGATTACAACAGGATTCAGTGTGGTCTGTTAATACTGTAATTACTTGGGCATTATTATTACATGGTTGCCCTGCATTCACCAGAAGCAAAAGTTTACATGAAATCTTTCTTTTCTCATAATGGAAGTCTCCTTATTGAAATTGTTGGACATGTTTCAAAGATCTGTCATGATTACAATCCATATTAGACTTGCTGAAAGATTTGAGCTCACCTAGCTAATTCACCCATCAAAACAGCTTTCATTGTCACCCAGGACCTCCTGTGAGCCCACGTTCTGTCACTGCCTTTGCAGACCCCGCCAGTGTCTTAGCTTTCCAGATGGTGCACTGTAGCAATAAGAAGCGCATCTGAATTCAGGCAGTTTCCGGTTATTAAAGAGGCCAGCTGAGCAAGAGGTCATAAATCGAATGCAAAGAAAATGACAGGATCGAAGCTTTTCATCAAAGCTGACAGACACACAAATAAAAATGTACTAAATAATCCCCCCACCAGGAAAAAGAAAGGAATAAAAATGGTAATCATATTTGAAAGGAGAGCTTCCATTCCAATGCATATAAATTCCAGCTAATGTACAGTGGCTCGGCCTTTTCTCACTGAGGTGTCTCTGCTGTTCTGAGCAATATTATTTCATTTAGTTGATTTCCAGAATGAGTAACACAAGGAAAATCTGGCTAACAGGCTCTAGGAGCAGTATCAGATGTACTGCTGTAAGCACTGCTCCAGATCTGAACAGCTGGACACCTCTGCAGTAAAGACAAAAAGAATAAATTCCTGGCATATGTACAAACACTAGGGTTCTTTGGCCTTAACATTTTAATCA